GGAAACAGCATTTTATTTCTTGGGAGGTAATTAAGTTTTCTGAGCTGGTTCTAGGCACTAAGCCAAAAGCTACTAGTGACCTCTTTGAATCCACACTACCCCATGAAGTTGATAGTATTACCACCTACATTTTATGGTTAAGGAGACTGTGACCCAGGTGGTGAAAGATCTTTCCCCAGGACACACAGTGAGGCAATGGCAAAACCGAGAACTGCTGTCTCAACCCATTCTGAACTATTACCCTTCGCTACCCCAGGCCTGGTCTGCTCCTTTCCCACCCCAGAACACAGCGTCATCCTCTACTTCTTGCAAAAGCACTACTAGAAGTGGCAACACAACACGCCACATGAAATGCTTACCTCCTGTGACCAACCCATTTCTCACTCCAAGTGGTGGGGTTGCAGGCTGGCACCGCGCACAGCCAGATGCCATCTGTGGGAAGAGAGTTGAGAGCGCTTGATGCTGCTGCATTTTGAAGATGCTCCTTAACCATGGGTTCCAATCCCTTCTCTACCCATACAGCTTCTGTTAAGGTGTGTCGGCCGCGCCACTCCTGATTTCTGTGAACTCTGTAAAATTAGAAGTTTTGATTTGTAGGTCTCTCCAGTCAGATGACTGAAAAACGAGGGACATACAACCTGGGAAAGCATGTTCAGCTTTATTTTTTTTTAACTTTTTTTATTTAAATAAGGAGAATTCTTTCATATGGAAAGAGCTAGTACAATCACATATTTGAAAGGAGAAACAATAGGTACTGAACCGGAGGGAAAGGGCGAGGGTGAGTGTGCCAGCACCGGCCTGGTGAATCCACAATTCCATTCCCCATCCAAGGTAAGTTTCCCGAAATTATACTGTATAAACACGCTGCACATTACACCTCTAGCCATCGTCTGCCCTTTCAAATATCTGGTCTACATGAAAAGACAAAGAGGAAAGGCCAAAACATAAACAAAAGGAAACAAAAACAAAACGCAACCCTCTTTAAGAACCAAACAAAAAACCCCCAAATCCTTTTTTACTACACAAGGCATGAGGTCAAAAGCTTGAGTACAGCGTCCCCTTTAGACCATGGGAGAAAGGCGTCCACACAGAACCTTAGCAGGAATTTCCACTCCGAGGTTTCAGAACATGCTGGAGATGGGGCTCTGGGGGTGCCACTACCATCCTGGAGGCCACCAACTGGGGTGAACTGGTGAACAGCAGGTCTCATGTGCCTGAAGATCCCCAGCCCAACAGGCACTGGTGGCACTGGTGGCCCTGGTGGAGCATGGCTGGGCCAGTGTCCATCCCCAACACTGAGCCACTTCTGTCCTGGATGACTTCCTGTGTAGGTCCGTCACATTTCAGAGGAGAGCTGGCTTTCTGGAAGCCTACATTCCCATTCACGACAGAGCACACATATCCTGGTATCATTGGTCTTCAAAGGCCATTTCCAACAGACCCTCTAACCCAGGCCTGCTCTGCAGGAAGCGAGAAGGGACAAATAAAGATCTGAGGGGCAGCCTGCAGCTACTTGGCAGAGGGGAACCAATGGCAGGGAGGAGCTCCACCAGAGCTATACTGTCGCAGCAGACCAGGCCACAGCATGGCCTTGCACCTGTGTGCTCCCCGCTTCCAGAAGGCGTCACTGACCGTCCTGAAGGCAGATCCAGAAGATAGGAGGGCGACAGCACAGCTGGAAAGCACTGATGTCAACGTTTAACAAGGTAACCCAGGGTCCCTAGAAGTGTCTGGAAGGACCATAGCTTTCGAACTGAACCGATTTTCTTAAATGTGAAATAATAAAATTATCCTTTGATTTTCCCTTAAGGAACCTAGAGCCAGAGTGTCTATGAATTCCAAGTTTGAAAACAAATGTTTAAAAAATGTTTAAAAAAAAAAAAAGAGAGAGAGAGAGAGAAAGACGGGAGAGAGCCAACAGTTAAGAAAACCAAACCAAATGATGCAGCTGGCAGAGAAGTCCCCAGTGGGTGGATGAGCATTTCAGACGTACACCCACACTCTGGACTTCATCCCACTCTAGTGGACGGTGGACAGGTTATCACCACAAGGTCACTGGTTGCTGAGCAATGGGCCACACCCCCGATGGCCAAGGCAGAGCTGCCAGCATAGGGAGGGTGACTTTAGCAGGCAAAGGTGAAGGAGTTCTGACCCTCTACTCCCCACCTGAGCAGCAAAAAAGGGAAGTGCTGGTCTCCGCCTGTTCCCACCAAGGCCCCACGGTATCCTGACAGAAACCTCTGCATGTTATCTACGCTCTGAGGATGGACGGGGGCTTGAAAATGAAATGACCCTATGTCCTATTACCTTGAGCTTGGCTCTAAAACCACGTGAAAGGAAGAGATATATTGCACCTTAAAACGTCTCTGCACTAAGAACTGCATTTAATCAGACCAAGGAAGGGGGTGGGGCATTGGGAGGCCCGAGGCCTGCCCTTAGCCCGCGGAGTCCCATTTAAAATCTGCAGCTCAGCAAAGAGACTACAGCTCGGGTCACACAGAGGTGGTGACTGCACCGCACTTCACATGCAATTTCCTGGCCTTTCCTGCACAAAATTCAGACATGATATATAAATAGAGCAGTGAAACATTTACTTCTTTCACCTAGACCTACAACATCAATACATATAAATAAATTCTAGTTTTTTTGTTTTGTTTTTATTTGGGGTGAGGGAGGAGAAAGGAAGGAAATACCGGGTAAGAGAAAAGGGCTGGAGAACAGGTGACCTTTTTTGTTTTTATTTTTTCTCAAACAGCAATTACTGTGGGTCTGATGCCAGGTTCACCTGAAGGATACATCTTGAGTTTTTAACAGCATCCAGGAGGCCTTTTCTTTCGACAAATCACACACACCACCGCGTCAGGTGGAAGGGGTCTGGCCATATGGCTCAAGTGTCCAGGTGGAGATGAATGTGTGGCTCCTGCAGGCCTGCGCTCACCCAGGGAACGGCTTGGCAAGGGGGTCACATGGGGACAGAGAGGGCTTCACCCCAGGCCACAAGCAGCCGCTTGCAGTGGGAGAAGGAAAAGCAGACAAGTGCAGGTAGGAAACGAGCGGAACTGCCAGGTGGGGCCGCCCCTCGGAAGGGACTCGAGTAAAGACTCTGGATGAAGAGCGAAAGACAACGTGAGGGCAGGAGGGGAGCTGCTCAAAGACACAGTTAACAGTAAAACGGTCTTTTCAGTGAAAATGCCCCTTCCCAGGCAGCTCCGGGGTTGGTTGCTGTTCGGATGAGGCCATTCTCCCACTTCCTTAGACTTGGGAGAGCACCCAAGAAGTAACTTCCAACAGTTCCTAAGATGCTTCCTTCCCATGTTGGCCACACTAGACATAGCTTAGAGCCCATACCCAAATGGCTGTCCTGTGCCATGAGACACTGGGGCAGTGCCTTCTGGGGCGGGTGTGTCCCCAGTCCTCTCCACACTGTGTTCTGAGCCAGCCTCCTCTGGAGGAGAAGGTAGACGCTCAGTGATCCCTAAGAACAGCTGTAGAAACGTGAAACTGGCCCCACCCCTCCCCGTTTCCTTGGAATGACGAATCCGGGACGATTTCCTTCTACGTAAAAAAACAAGCCCAAGCACACCATGGCTCACACAAGCCTCTGGTTCGAGACAGCCCTACAGCCTGGAGGTGCTGCCTCCGGGAGGCTGTGCAGACCCTTTCAACTGCGGTCAGCCCTGCCCCAGCCTAACCCTGGCCCCGCCCAGCTGTCTGAAGACTTGAGACTGAGGCCTGCTGCTTAGCTCAGGCCCTCCTGTCCCGACAACCTGGGTCCTGCTGCTGGAGTGAAACAAAGGAGAAGGATCAACTCCACGTGGCCTTGCTTGGGGACCACATGCGTGTCACTCCCTCCATCAACAAGTGGTGTTCACGATGAAGCGTGTGGGAGGTGGAGACGGGTCCAGGAGAAAGCAGTAGGCTTCCGGAAAAGGAAGGAAGGAAAATGACAGGTTACAGAAGGCTTCAAGGAAAGAAGTGCGTGACAAACACTGCACCCCTGAGGGGCAGGGTGTGGAGCCTCAGAAGCAGAGCCCACGGGGCCTGGGATGGACCTGTGGTGCGTTAGCTTACCCAATCTGGGCCAACCTGGGAGCCACCAGCAGCCACCTCCATGATTTGTCCCTGGTGCCCAGCACATCCACTGGCTTTCGAAGAGCCCAGGACAGGGACACTGTGTGATTCTCTTGTCAAAACCGTCATCAACTTCATGGGCTGCCTGTAAACGCCCTGGGCTCATCAGACCAGGAGTTGGAACCCAAATGCAACCCCCAACATGCCTACTGCTCTGTGCACCCCATTGCTTCCCAGGCGGGGAGCCAGGCACTAGAATGCTTGCAATGGATGCCCTCAAGAACCTTCATTTTCTTTTTGCAAATAACTTCGAAAGTGAACCAGCTGGGAAATCAGGAGGGGATGCATTCTTAAGAGTCATCTCTTAAGGTATTGAAGTGACGTATCAAATTAAACGGGACAGAGGCAAAAGGAAACCACTGGAGATGGAAGGGAGGGGAGGGGCTGGCGAGGAACGTAGAAAAGTTCAGCTATACAGACGGAGCTTGCGTTTTCTTTTTCTTTTCCTTTGCCCTTTGTAAAAACCTTGGCTACTTTTAAAACAAAAAGCCTCAAAGTAAAATGACCCTGCTGCCAAACCACAGTGCCTAGGGATGGGCTGCTGGGCTGGAAGCACTGCTGAGAAGGCGCCCTGGCTGTGCGGCAGGACAGGGAGGAGCAGGGAGGGCGGATCTGCACTGCACAGGAGGCAAGTCACTCCACGGTCACGGTGGGAGGAGATGGGATGAAGGAGTCATTTGCTTTTTTGTTTCATAATCAAAGCAAGCGGGTCAATGCCACATATCCACGGGTGCAAGCTGGTTGATGACAGAGCTTTCGGGAGTGGAGAGAGGAGGGAGGTCTCTCAGTCCAGGCCAGGCGTTTGGACGGTGGATCTGGTGAGGCTCCCGAGTGTCAGCTGTGTCGAGGCCGCGTGGCGGCACCGTCCCCAGTGGGGCGAGGCGAGGTGGCAGCCAGGCACCATCAGGCCTTACTCTCCTCCACTTTGACAGCCCGAGGCTTGATCGCTCCAGTTCGCTTCATCTGGGAGGCAGCTGAGGGGGCCTCCTGCAGCTTCACGGCTCCCAGGCTGGGTTTCTCATCCACTCGTTGTTTAGCCTTTGGACAGATGAACGGGAAAAACAAAGTGACCCTGATGCTGAAACGTCTGTTTGGATACATAGCTCCCACCACTCCCTTCCTGCTCCTGAATGCAGGGAAAGCTCCCCTAAGTCATCCATCCCTTGGATGAAGGACCAGACTTACAAATGCCCCTCCTAGTAAGGAGAGTGGCGCAACTGCCGTCCCTGTTCCCTGTGAGCCCCAAGTGCAGTGATTCGGAGAGGCAGGAAGACACCGAGTCCTCCACAAGGAATTCCGCGATGGCACATCCAGGGCGGAAGCAGTTCTAGTCCCAAGGCCAACTGGAAGAACCTTTTCAAATCAGTGCACCTCCTGCCCCACAAGCAAAAAGCCCCTTCGAGTAGATCCAAGTGCCCCCTGCACGTCTTGGAGGCCCCGACTGTCTGCTGGGGCTCTAGGCAGACTTGCCCCCCCGCCCCAGATCTTTGGCCTCGATTCAGCCACAACTCCAACTCTACAACCTTTCCCTGGGGCCCCATTCCCAGTCAGGGCTCCCCTGGTGTGTGGCTCTACATGGGGGTGGGATGGGGAAGTCACAGAGCAGCCATCTGCCCCCGCCCAAGTCTGAACTCTGGAAGAAAGCTTTAGAAGCTTATTCCACACAATTCTCATGACCCCCAGGGGAACCAATGAGAGCAATCAGTTCCCACCTCTACCAGCCAGGCACAGTGACTGATGAAACACCCAGGTCTGAGGGGCCTAAGCTCTGGGCCCCAGCACGTTTTAGAGACTAGTGAAGAGAATAGTGCCTGCGGGGAAAGACACTGAGATGTACTTTTCATTATCAAATGGGAAAACTTAATTTCACCTATGATCCCACCCAGCCAAGACAAAGACGAGACACACCACTGACTTGTGCACCCCGGGCTCCTAGAGCTGACCCCCAAACCTAACCAAGTCTCCCAGAGCGCCTCACAGCCCCGACCTGCCAGGGCTGGTCCACCTTCCAGCGTCACCTCCTCAGAGGAATCGGCATCCTCCCTTCTCTGCAGGACAAGGAAGGATCCAGACGCCCGTCAAAAGGAGAAATGCCTTCGCCAGGAGGGACACGGGTGGCCCAGCTCCTGGTTCCGTGCTCTAACCGCTAGGGCATGGCTCTCTTTAGACAAGGAGCACTCATATAGGTTGGACAGTCCCTTCTCTTTTGGTGCTTGGAGACGGGCCTAAATGTCCAGGGCTGAAGGGTCTGGAAAGCCATCTTCTACCTGTTGCACGTAGTGTCCCTGCACAGAGCCCATGTTAACTGCTGATCCAG